AGACATACAGCTGTCAGCACTGTATCCCTTCTTTCCATTACGCACGCCTTGAAAGTAAAGGCAGCATTCATGATCCGGAAACAATGTTTAGTCTGTCTCAGTCATGAAAAGCAACGATTTTCAAAATAAAAAAACAAGTATTCTCTAGTCTGAACCCAGCGTAAGTGATTCTCCTGATATGTCAAATTTGTAAAATTACTATTTTCAGCATCTGATTCACAAACATTTTTAATCTGAATTTAATCTGAGTTTTTTCACACTGAATTTATACAGATCTTTTTTAAATTAAGTTATGCACTTTAGAACAAAACTCTTCTGCTGCTTTCACACTCATCACATCATCTGTTATTGACATTTCAAACTGAATTACCTCTGCTCATTGATCATTTTATTGATTTACCATGTACCGTTCAACATCATCTGCTGCCTTCTGCCACACTATAGTTTTGATCATTATGGTATGTAAAGGGGAACAACAAGGACATGTACAATGACACAAAATTTATATTTAAAAGACATTTACCCTTTAATTTGAACTGATTTACACCTGAATACTTGACTGGTGTTCCGCCTTTATTTATCAGGTATTGACTAGAAGTAAATGCAAGTGACGCTTTGCTGCACAGCAGTAAAATGGAATCATTTTCTGTTTTTTCCACCCAGACAATATTAAAGTGCAGTTTACCTTTCCTTTGGTTTTGAGAAACTTGCCACTCTGCTACAACTAATGCCTGAGTTTAACACAAACCACTGAAGCAATTGTTAAATGAGTGAATCAAGCCAGCCATTTACAAGTCAGAGCCAAGAACGAGCTATAGACAATGCAAATTAAATCGAGAAGCTGATGCCATATTGGCATCGGCGTGGTGCCATTGTTTCATAAAATAATGAATGCAGTGATTAGCCTTGTTTTGGAGAATTGGGACCCAACCAGTGAGACCATTGTCAACATAAGCTACCACTGAAAAGATGCTCACAAACAGGAATTTTTACCAGTTTTACTTATAATTAGAAACAGAAATTAAAGTGTTTTTCAAACATTTACTATTGATTGTTATTTACTTTAAAAGTCTAAATGATTCTTGTATTATAGACCACTGCACTGATATTCCGTTCAGTATTGTATACTTATTTATGACATTTAATTCAATTCAGTTTTATTTATACAGCACCAAATCACAACTACAGTGCCCTCAAGGCGCTTTGTAATAATAATAATAATAATAAT